GCACCGAACGGAACCGAACCCGAACGGTTCCATAATTATATTTGGACCCGACGGGTCCATTTATTAAATACCCGAAAGTTTTGGGTCGGTTCGGGTATCTTCAGAACCGAACCGAACCGACCCATGGACAGCCCTACCTATAATACAGCACTTTGAAGGAGCCTAAACGGGATTGTGTAGTTATGAATCTGTGATTTTCATTTATCAAGATGCAATACTGAAGAATAATGAATATGCATATGAAGGTAACGTAAGAGCAGATTTTGAAAAACATAATCAAGAATATTTGGTTTTATATATCAAGTAGTAATCCTTAAGAACGAGGAACATACAAATACAGGTAAAAGGCTTTGTTTCCTCTTAATTTCAAGTTTCATCATCGACTATTAACATTTAAGCCTACCGCAGATGATTAAAAGTTGGCTATATATCCTCATTGACCATGTTTCTGAGATTATATTATCAAATTTAGCAAGTTCTCAAACACATTTCTCCACATGGCCATTGGTTTTCAACCTTTCTAACCGGATTTCATGGATGAATTCGGTTACATGGAGTATCATATGTCAGATTCACTCAAGGGGATAAGATGATAAGATCCAAAGAGGAATTTTCTCGTGATTGAGCAGAACTGGAGGATTTTAGTCTCTTGAGAAGCAACCAAGCATCGGATTCTGGACAGCCCTCGTTCATTTCAATGGCAACTGGAACAGGAGAGGCATCATTGATCTCTACAAGCATCGTTCCCTGCGAGGAGGATTTACAATGGGATTGTGACTAAAGATTCAACTTACATCATTAAAATATTGTCGTGGTTCAAAGCTGATGACGATGATCAACAGTTTACCTCAAAATTTACCAGAAATTTCTCAAACTGTTTAAATGTTTTTTTTATATCACTGACACGCTTGGTGTCTTCTGAAGTAAGAGCACTTTTGACATCTTCAGGAGAATGACCAATCGCATTCTGTACAACCTGTGTAGAGAAAAAATCTGTCGACGCATAGCTTCTTAAAAGAGTCATAAATTGATGAATGTCAATTCCACTCACATTATGATCGATAAGGATTTCAGAGATAAGACTGCCATCATCAATGTAAACCCGGAGCTCATATGTAGCCCTTTCTTTGTATTGAAATGCCTTTACACCAGCCACAATGCACTACATAATTAGCAACAAGAAGTCAGCTTGTACATTAACTATGAAGGGATAAACTACTAAAACACCATTCACTACTATATAAAATAAAGTGAAAACGGCAATCTAAACATTAGTCAGGTAGATCTACAAATTTGTAATTGTTAATCAGTTATATTTTGACAATAAGTTGAGAGAAACTCCATACTAACAACTAAAATCATGCAATGGCATACAACATATGCACATGCTTACATGAAGTCGGTAAGCATATAGGACTACCTACAACATTGCTCACATTCACACAAATTAGAGCAGCTGAAAATTTCATGTTACTAGTACAATAACTGGCAAGCTTAGAGTAAGAGATTAGCTCTGTTGAAAAATTATGAATCATACTGCACAAGAGTAAAGATTACAAGATCAAAATCAAAAAGAATTATATTACAAACCATTAGGGGTAGAATACATTTAATGTTTATACCTTTATTTTTCCTCGAACAGGGGAAGCTTTGACCTCCATCGCCACCCACTTAGCAGATAAACTAGCCATGTAAGTGAAAGGAGTTTCTTTATCCCCGGAAAGTATGAATGGGTGATTGAACTCGTTCACCACAGAAATTTCCTCGAAATCCATAGCTACAGAAGATGATGTGTTATCAGCATCATCCCTAGCGAGTGGAATGGTGAAGTCTTTTCTAGTAATATCATTGGCAGGGATGCTTGGTACAACTTCTGTAGAAAATGAATGTCAGTAAATTAAGAAAAATTGAACAAACAATCTAGGAAAAATTCGTATCAGTTTGCATGAGTCTATACTGAACTAATATACCATGCTTCAGTGACTCCAAAGGAGTAATGTTTTCCATAGCAGGACTATCAATATGCGCAGGAACAGAGACACGGTCTGGTGGCTGCACTGCAGACTGTATATGAGGCTCAGCACTGTTCCTACTCACTGGAACTGCAAAGCTTTGTGTCGCCCTGCCACTTGCAGCGGTGCCAAATGCAGTTCCCGCAGATGGTGAGCTAGTCTTAGCATTATTCCTACTTGCTGAAACTGCAGAGTCTAGTCTTTGATTGTCAGTGGCAGAAATGCCAGACTCAGCGCTGTTCCTACTCACTGGAACTGCAAAGTTTTGTGTTGACCTGCCAATTGCAGGGGTGCTAAATGCAGTTCCTGCAGATGATGAGCTAGTCTCAGTATTGTTCCTACTTGCTGAAACTGCAGAATCTTGTCTTTGATTGTCGTTGGCAGAAATGCCAGAGGTAAATCCTGAAGGGTATGAATACATGCAACAAATAAGAGGCTATATATGTAATCAAACACCCAAGTCTATTTTGAATGGCATACCTTGCCTGTTTGCCTGTAAAGGTGTTGTGCTTTCCATTGCAGGTCCATTGATGGGCCCTAGAATATTGACACTTGGTGGTGGCCATGCCGCAGAAGTTGCTCTAGTTGCTAAAGGAGGAACCACCCCAGCCCTGGTTCTAACATAAGTAATTAAGGGTTATCTCAATCACAGATATCTGGATAGTAATACTACAATTAAAACTTTCTAGTTGCAAATTCATAAACACATTGACATGAGGTAAGGTTTAATAGCTGCAGACCACCTCATTAACATATAAAAGTATTTGTTTGAAAGAGAAGGAAAGATAATTTTGTTAAATTGGAAATGTGGTAAAACTATTAAAAAGATTCTAGCAAACAACTTTGACAAAGGAAAACTGTTACTCCGTAAGATATAACAGTCTACTTTTAAGATAACTGTTGCTATGCATAACTATGAGGGAGGGAGGATCAATGAGGGAAGAGAGAAAGGGAGGAGAACAAATTTAAAGATAGGGAGACTAACTTTTGATGAATCAGAAAGAAGGAAATGAAAAATCTTAAATTTCAGAAATAAATCAAAGGCCATGAAAAGATCAATGAAAATTAATTCTGAACAAATTGGACAGAAATTTGAATTCCTCACACCCAAGTATGTCCCTAAGAATCCATGACATTTGATGCTAACAGTGCAAAATATGGGTATCAAGGGCCATGTGGTGTGACGTACTCACAGAGGAAAACAGAACCTATCTGCTAAAAGAATCTTTATTTCAGTTATAAACAACCATCACTTTATTTTCTCCCTTAATACATGTTAGTTTCTTTCGCTTCTTTATTCAAGGAATAAGAGAGAGAGACTTAATGGTGAAAAAAAAATTAAAATATTATTTATCTACACATAACAATTACACTAAATCCAATGAGTAATTTTAGATTGTGTAACCAGAGTAGTTTTTTTTTTTTTTTTTTTTTNTTTTTTTTTTTTTTTTTTTGAGGGAAATGATGAGGGTGATCATATACTTTGAGCAGTTACATTATATACCATCTTAGATACCTTTTTCCCCTTGGTGGCTTATTGACTTCATTCACAAGCCTCTGTCGCGCTGCATCCAACTCCTCAACCATGCCTCCCAGAATGTTGAGAACTTCAGGGACTAACATTAATAACCCATGCCTTACATTAACATTACAAATAGCTACCTGAATTAATTAGCCAAAATTTGAGTCAGATACATCTTTTCAACATCTAGATCTCCTGTGGAGAAATCAGGGACCAGGAATCAGCCAGATGTAAAAAAGCAAAAAATAGCAAAGAAACCTTCAGTCCAGCTGGGGTCAGAACTTCAAGATCTTTAATGGGCCTATATTCCATGCCAAACACACGCTGGACACCATCAGTAATGGACAATTTGAGACACCTCTTCATTCCAGGCGCAGCATTCTGGTACCTTCCACGAAGATGGCTGCTGATATTCACTATCTCATCCACCTTCGAAACCACCATCTCATATGAAATTAGCAATAATTCCATGTAAAGCAGAGTACTGCACGACAATCTCTTTTAGACACATGCAAGCAATTACAGGCAATTGTATTGTTTGAACTCAAATCCTAAGCTGTTAACTAGAACAATAAATGACAAAATAATGAAACCTTTAAACTGATGCAATATATACATAAGATCTTGATCAAAGATGTTTCTTTTCCTATTAAAAGAACTAATTTTACAGCTTCAATCTGTTTTTAAAAAAATATCCAACTTGGCTTGTAGAGACCACAAATCTATACAATGGTATTTATTTTCCAGTAAGAAGTTCCTTTTCTTTATATTCAATCAACACGTAATATAACCAATGTACAATTTCGGGTATACAACATGTTCAAAACATGAAAGACTGAAAAATAGCTCCTAATCTACCTGCAAGACAAAAGGTCCCTTGAGATGTTGGTTTACGTTCCACACGTGTAGCGGTGGAAGTACCCCGGCTCCACAATAATTCATATCCGAATACAAGAACTGCTCAAAACAAAGCTTCGCCTTTACTGAATCATCAAACCGCAAAAACCCCGGAACCGATGTCCCGAGAGCTCCCAAACAAGAATCCAACCACTCCCCTTTCAATCTCAACCCTAGCCCTTGTAAAACTCCATTTACTGGAGAATCCGAAACCGCAAAATAATTATTACTACTACTGTTACTAATATTCGAATTGAAATTACTATTATTATTAACATAATTAGTAGTATTTGGTTCGTCGTCGGAGACATCAAGAGGTATGGGTTCAGAGGGGGGATAATGACTATTCGTGGTGGACATATTACTGTTTGGGGAAGGATTTGATGAATTAAGGGTTACAGTTTGGAGCTCCACTTCTATGTCGTCAATGAAGTCATCGACCGGATATTCCAGAGGCTGCTCTTGCGGCGGCGGCTCTTCTTCTTCGTCGGAAGAGCAGACTACGCGGAGGCGTCTTCTCGACATTTTACTGTGTTTCTCTGTAAGCGCGCTCTCGTTTTTCCCTCCAGTTTGGTTTTTTCCCCAAATTTTCTGTTTTTGAAATTTATATGTGGGAATGAACATTGGACCAATAGTTGGATTGGGCCCAATTCAGTCTCTAAACGAAACCCAGCAGCCCATTCACGTGCTCTCTTCAATCCATGGTGGCCCATTTTTCGGCAGAGTGACTACAGAATCTGTCAGGTGGACGTAGCCCTCTCTAAGTTGCTCTGTCCTAACCCTCCAGATGATTAACAAGCACTTTTTCTCTTTAAAAAAAAAAAGGTTGAACCTCAACCTTGATGCCTCGCCCCTAGAGTATAGTGGAGGAGGTAAATCGCGAGATATGTCTCAACAGATCAGAGTACAAGAGTTGTCATACTGGTGCCCACAAAGAGTCCAATTTCATACTTTGTAAGAGGCAGGAATCGAATTTTCTCTCTTTTTAGCCGATTTTTAGGGTGAGTAGATTCAAAGAAGCTTTTACAATTTGAACTATATGATCAATAGGGAGTAACTTCATCTAATACAAATTATTTTCTCATTTAGCATTTTATAAATTAGTTAAGATCCGAAGGGAGGAAAAATCTCAAACACGGTCCTAAACCCGTTATCATTTATGAAGAAAAGAATCGCCAACATAAACCTTAATTTACGTGAAAACCATAAGTTACACTTCTGGGTTGAAGGTCACCATTAGAATCAAGTCCCTGTTTGCCACACATTATTTCAAAATTCATTTTCAACCACACATTTTTCAATAAAATAATATTTTTTATCACATCAATAATTTTTCCTTATTTTTTAACCATATATTTCTCATCATATCATTATTTAAAATATATTTTATTACTTTTTTGAAATTTAACTCATGTTTGACACACATTATTTCAAAATTCATTTTCAACCACTCATGTTTCAATAAATAATATTTTCTATCACATCAATAATTTTTCCTTACTTTTTAACCATATATTTCTCATCATATCATTATTTAAAATATATTTTTTTCTCAATAATATCCATCGAATACAATTCATTCGAAGATGTGTTAAAGGTCGCAATACTCAAGTATGACATAAACAACTATGCACCATTAGATCTCATGCAAGAAGACATTAGTGTCATGCAACTTTGTCCTCTATTTAATTAATTAAAGACATTAGTGCTGCATGGATTAAATTTTTTTCACTCACCTATTTTTACATTTCTGGCATTGGGTAGAAAAAAGGATTTTGGCAATTTGTACATAAAAAAAAAAGTATATAATGAATTACATAATATGATGTGGGAGAAAAAATTAAATGACAAAGTTGATTGTATTTTAAACTGAGAAATGGTAGAGTGTCATGTAGCATTATGTAATCCAAAAAAAGTTAATTTCAATTACAGTCACTAAACAATCAGCAAAAATTTATTGGGTCACAGAATTTTAATTTAATTTCAAATTGAATCCTAAACTTCAAAAAAAATTTCAAATTTCATCAATCCGCCACATGAAGTCCTCCAAGATGATGAAAATCTCTTCATTGACAATTACAACAGTAGATCTTCCGCATAAGCACCTTTCGACATGGTAATTTACGAGTGTAAAAATAATAATAACACATTTTAACCTTTTAGTTTAGTAGCATCGTGATAACACTAGTTCTACAATTTTCGTCTTTCGAGTGCTCAATTATGTGAAATTTCAGTAATTGTATGACTATCAATTATGTCGGCAAATTCTGTACTTTCCGTACTACCAACCAAATTCCATGAGAATGAATGCACGGTGGCGAACGAGGTGTGAGAAAGTGTCAACTTAGTTGATCTCTATATTACCATGAGGATTAATCTATGTTTACTTCTTACCAGGCCCCACATCCGACCCTCCAATAGGGTGCCGTCATGCGGCCATGTAGTAACCCATCTAGTAAGGTAAGAAATGCATGTAGCATCTTCCTTACCATGAATAATGTTATGTATACACCATTTGGTGTACACAATGCATTACACCCCCTCACATGGAAGGGGGTCCACACATATATTTTATTGTGCGGCCCCCCTCCATGTGAGGGGGTGTAATGTATTGTGTACACATAACACAACCCATATAACCATTAGTCTACTAGGTGATCTTGTACTGCAATAGTACCAATATTCCTATAATTTTGGAAAGAAGAACGTCAAGTAGTGGACTGCAAGGGCCACCAAACCCAGAAACACCACCATTTGCCCAATGGTCACTTGCTATCTTATTATATTATCTGCAAATCATATCTCAGATTATAAATCATCTGCAAATCATATCTCAGAATTGTGTGTTTTCAATATCTCTTCTTACATTGGTCTATTTGCATTGTTTAAGGAACGCAATATTATAAAAAAGTAAGTACCAAATGCACCAATCCTTTGCTTTACTGCTGAAAATTAAGATTTAGAAATTCAACATCAACACCTGGAAAGGTGTATATGGAATCCCCACATAGTAGATCCTAAAAAGAAGCTAATTATTTGATGTTTGTGGAATTTAATGTTAAAAATATGTGCCTAACACATTACACTATGCTACCACTCAAACTCTCATTAAATTATAATCCGACTCCCAAGTCATATTCAATTCAGTGGACCAAAGCAAATAAGAGTCGAGAGTTGAATTTAGGGTGTGTTTGATGTATATTATTGAGAAAAAAATGTATTTTAAATAGTGATATGATGAGAAATATGTGGTTAAAAAGTAAGGAAAAGTTATTGATGTGATGAAAAATATTATTTTATTAAAAAATATGTGGTTTAAAATGAGTTCTGAAAAAATGTGTGTCAAATACATGGTAGTCCTCTCATCCCCTGCCCCGCTGAAAATGGGCCAAGAGGCAAAGATTAAAGTATCCTATTTCTTTTAGGGTGTGTTGGATAGATATTATTGAGAAAAAAATGTATTTTAAATAGTGATATGATGAGAAATATGTGGTTAAAAAGTAAGGAAAAGTTATTGATGTGATGGAAAATATTATTTTATTGAAGAATGTGTGATTGAAAATGAGTTTTTAAAAGAATGTGTGTCAAACGCGAGCTTTAAGAACCATGCTTCTCTTTCTATATATAGACGAGTTTAGAGGAGTAGTTTCCATTCAAGAAGTGTTAAAAAAAACTCTCAATGGCTGCCATTTTAGTAAAGAAGAAGTGGGTTCTCGTGGTGATAGCAACGATGATTTGGCTGTTGATTCTGGGTCCTTCAAATGTGGAGTGTGCATTTGGTATTGAGATTAATCCATGTACTCTTTCTGAATGTGTTGCAGCATGTAAAAAGGCCTTAAATGAGAAGTACCTCAGTGCAACATGTGCAGTTGGACCTAAAGGAAAGTACTGTGTCTGTTTAGGTTAATACGTACGTATCGTATCGTATACTGGTATATGTATAACAATCTTAGGCAACAAATAAAGTCTATCCAATCCATGTTGGTACGACATGACACTATAATTCCCTGTAGTATTGTCCATTGCTGTCTGATTCATTCTAGCAAAGTCGCTATGGTAAGTTATTATAGTATTAAGTAATATGTATATCTTGTGCAGTGTCACGTTGATATAATATGTGCTACTATACTAAGTATTTTTAAGTTGTCTATTAGACATCATTTACTTGCAATTTTTTTGTTTCAATTTAGTTTAAATGGTCATCCTTTAAACAACTCGAAAGATCTTCCTCTAAAAACTCTTTTAATTCGTTGAAACAATTATAAAAAATTATCCAAACATGATTCGTAATATCTAAACTAGCTTTTGACTTTCAATAACTACGCAGAACATGCCCTTGGTCGTCTACTTCCACGAGAAGTAGCCGTGCTTAGTCGCATGTCTACAACTATATTATCATCTCATGGAGATTTACCTGTCAGATAATCCTATATCCCAATTGGGGAAGGGGGAAGCACGTATAGAGAGTAGTAACTGAAATCGACGAACGAGATGGGATTTATATTATCTAAAAGTTACCAAAAGATGTTAGCACCATTATAATGCTTGTCAATACCAATACATAACTTAGTCACTCCTCTTCTAGGACAGATGTTCAAATTAAAGCTAATAACTTTCTGAAATTATTGTACAGAACCAGTCTGAGATCCCACCGAGGCGTGATCCTTCCATCTGGATATTCCAGAATCGAATATCCTTTGCAAGACGTTTAGTCGATCAGCTAGAAGAGATTGTTCCATTTCTTCGATCTGAGCATTTTCTTTTTCCATAACCGATTCCAGTTCATCAAAATACTTCATCTTGCGTTTCAATTTCTTCATCTGTATATACATAAATGCAAGTAGTGAACATCTAAACCCACTCCATTCTCAATTTTTAGAGTGTGTTTGGTAGGAATTTTTGGGGGAAGAATTGATTTTTGAATAGTGATATGATGGGAAATGTGTGGTTGAAAAAGAAGAAAAAAGTATTGATGTGATGGAAAATATTATTTTATTGAAGAATGTGTGGTTGAAAATGAGAATTGATTTACTGTAGAAAATGAGAAGTTTTACCAAACAGGCTCTTAACTTGCGGGAATAAAATTGACAAAATGATAAATGCTCTGAAGCTCTGTTCATTAGCAAGAACTTGAATTGTCAGAAATTCAATGCGGTAGTTTGGAAGTTCATGAACTATGTGTGGAACTCTCCAAGAAGTTGGATTTTATATTTTTTTCCACATAACATCACCATCACCAGGGTATATCATGATACATCTTAAAATGTCAACAATATTAATAGGAGTAGCTCAAACTTATATAATTTGATCTATATTTTCATCTTTATTCGATGTGGAATTTTTATCCCTTAACATGTCCCCACAAAATGGTAACTCGTTTGAGCAGATCAATCTTGAAATTCGCGTGCTTAATTTTTTTAGTTTTAATCGGATCGAATTGCTCGTTGAAACTTAATGGGCTCTTAAACCATGTTAAAATTTGAGGAAATTAGGTCCTATACCCTTTTTTTTATCTTGTTTTGATTAATACCCTTTAAATTAATTAAACATTTGGAAGTATTAATTACGTCCTAAATTGGTAAAACAGATATTGTGAATTTTTTTTAGAAAAGTGACGTCGGGCAAAATAGTAATTATTATATAGGTTGGAATCAATAGACAATAACAGAGAATAACGCCAAGAAAAACGAAAAAATCTTTATTATTAAACAACTGAACGAAAATAACCCACAAGCCGGGTTAAATAGTTAAAAAATAATAATTTTCGAAATTTTACCAAAAATAGTAAAATCCTATTATTTCATACCAAAAGGAAATATTTAATGACAGAAATAAGATCCCAAAAATCTGGCTTAATTTGAGATCGTAATCTATGTTAAAAAAGAAATTGAAATATTACTAAAAATGGCAAAAATAACTTAAATTGATAATTCGAAAGGGAAAACAACAGAATTTGACCTCGAAACTGATGCACACCGAGCATAGCTTGATGACCACGACTTGAGCGCCGAAAAGAGCTTTCCGAATTGGGGTCACGGGCGTGATTCTGACAACCGTAGCCAAAGTTATGGCTAAAATACCGAAACATGTCCAAAAAGGCCCCAATTAGGAAAGTTCGATGATTATTTGCCAATTTTTCGCTGATCCGCCAACTTGTGGTATCTCAGCGTCATTAATGTACTATCAGACAGCTCGGCCTCATCTGACTCGGATCCTCTGCATCAGTCGCCCCGAGTTAGAAAGAACTCGTTCTCGAGTTCACTAGAGTGTCTTCAGAATCCCCAAAACAAGGACTGAGGTGCTTCACATTAAAGACATCTTCAAATGGCTGGGGAGGCATAGTCGGTAAGCATTGTCATTGATCTTTTGCAGAACCTCACAAGGACCAACCTTCCACTCTTTCAGTTTATCATACTCCCCAACAGGAAAGCGATCCCAAGTTAACACTGCCTACACAAAATCACCAACTTCGAAAAGGACCTAACGACGATGACTGTCCGCCTGAACCTTGTACTTGGCATTACTCTCTTGAATGGCTAACTTCACCTGAGCATGGATTCCCCGAAGATGTTCTGCCATCTCATTTACTTTGTGATTTATACGACCCATACGTGGAATAGGAGCTAAATCAAGGACCCCAGATAGAACCCGATCATAGACAATTTCAAATGGGCTCAACCCTGTAGTTCTATTCTTCGACCTGTTATAGGAAAATTTTGCCTCAGGTAACGTCAAATCCCACTGCGTCGGCTTAGTTCCTGCCAGACACCTCAATAGATTACCCAAACTCCGATTTTCCACCTCGGTCTGACCATCTGTTTGGGGGTAGTAGGCGATGCTAAAATTCAACTGTGTCCCTAGTTTCTCCCACAAACTTCTCCAGAAATGACTCGTGAACTTAGTGTCACGATCAGGCGTAATTGAATGAGGCACACCATGCAAACGCATAATTTCTTTGAAGTAAAGATGGGCAATCCGGGTAGCATCCATTGTCTTCCGACATGCTATGAAATGTGCCATCTTTGAGAACCTGTCAACCACAACAAAAATAGAATCCGAGGCTCGTTGGGTACGGGGCAGTCCGAACACGAAACCATACTGACATCAACCCAAGGCGCCTAGGCACTGGCAAAGGTCTGTAAAGACCTGCATTAGTAAGAGCGCCTTTGGACCGCTGGCACACATAACAATGCCCAACATGATGAGCCACGTCACTACTCAATTTCGGCCAATAATAAGTAGGGAAAACCAATGCCAGAGTCTTATCCTGCCCAAAATGTCCCATATTATGAAGTTTACTAACAATTATGTCGTCTTAATGAAGAATCTGGAACACACAACTGCAATCCACAAAATAGATATCCATTATGCAAAACGAAATCATGTCGCTGATTATTATTTACCTCCTGAATTATCTTTCCAAATGAAGGGTCAGCAGCGTACATATCCGAAAAAGTCTCAAACCCCACGACATTGGCTCTCATGGTGGTGAGAAGTGATGTACGACGACTCAATGCATCTGCAACACTATTCAAGCTCCCAGCTTGGTGCCTTAGTGAAAATGTGAACTCTTGCAAGTATGCCACCCACTTGTCATGTCGTCTACTCAATTTTTGTTGACCATTGATGTATTTCAGGGCCTCATGATCAGTGATAAAAATAAACTCTCTCTGTATCGGGTAATGACACCAATGCTTCAAAGACTGAACTATGACATAGAACTCGATATCATAGGTAGAATAATTCTTCTTTGATCCTAATAGCTTCTCACTGAAAAATACCACTAAGTGCCCCTCCTGACTCAAAACACCACCAATGCCCACTCCAGATGCAACACAATTTACCTCAAACACCTTATCAGAATCTGGGAGTGCCAAGACTGGAGCCTCTGTCATCCGTTGCTTGACCAACTGAAAGCTGGTTTGTGCTTCCTCAGACCATTGGAAAGAATGTCCCTGAGGCACTTTGTGACTGGGG